GCACAGACAGGAGCATGACAATATACGTTTTGTGCAACTCTTACACAGCGCAAAATGCATTTAAAAGAAAAAAAGAAAAGCTGGTGACGGAGTGCTAGTAAATCATGAGCAAATCTTGTCTGAACGTTCATGTGTTGACTGACCACAGTATTCAAACAGTGTGCAACTACTTTTTGACATCAAAACGCCATGTAATCATACTTCCCCACTCAGGGCTATTTGCCTCTATCTAATATCCCCCCATCAGGCAACATGAAGCATCAATCCGTAAGCAAAGGCGATACTTGGATATGCAGCGCTTACCGATTCTCAATCGAACGAGCCTGGTCTGGCAAACTTTTCTTCCATTCGGGACAGCGCAAAGTTCCCCCAGGAGAAGTTGGGACGTCAGAACGGCTGCCAAAATTCCTAACTTCTATACGCTTCCCTCCCCCTCCTTTCCGTTACCGACAGCATTTGCGAGTCGTCCTAAGTCAAAGATCACGCCTCTTACATCTATAGATCATTACTTACAAAAGTGCTATCAAAACGTTGAAACGTGAAAAGTGCATAGGTGCCAAATAACGTAAATAATGCTTTAATATCATGCAACAATTCTTCTTACATGCTGAGCAGTATTTCCCCTCTGATTCTGCTGGATTCAAACTTAAGAAACTTACCAGGAAATATGAAGTGACAATGCGGATTGTGTGGACCAGGCGGTGGAAAAATGAACGGAGTACCAGCCATGCATTTACCTTCAGTGTTAACCAAAACCGGATACAACGATGCATCTGGAAATGTGAGGCAATTAGGGTGCAAGGCGTGCAGTAGCATCTCGATAGTAATTTGCTATGACGTAAGGCAACACATCAAATAGCTTTCAAGTTTGCTTCTGAGAAAATCACGAAGTCACCAAAACCTTGCTCGCCCGTAGCTGACCCGCTGGCAAAGTACCAATACACTCGGCTTCTGCGCATTTTTGCCTCTTATGAAGAGTCAAATATCGGAAAATTTTTATTTTTTCATACAAAACGAACAGCGTTTAAGTGTGGCGAAATGTTAGACTTTTCGCCGCTAAAAATAAATTTCATGGTAAAAAAAAAAAATTCACGATTGTTACCTATATTCGGTTTATTGCCAGAATTATTAATATCTTCCATCATAGTCCAATCCTCCGAAATATTATCCTCCACAGCAGCTGCACTGTCACATCCCGGTGTTTCCTTGCCAGCTTCGTTTGTTTCTTTGCCAGCTTCGTTCGGTGCCTCGACTGTATCAGTTTCGTTTTCCGAACGCTTCTTCTTGGTGATGTGCAAGTTTTCGAGAGATGCATCCAAACCATCGGTTTCCTGAAGCCATAATTATTAAAAAATTTATAAAACACAGGCAAATAACTACTCCCCCCCCCCCCCCCCCCCCCCCCCCCCCCCC